CGAGAAAGTCCTTGAAAGAGATCTAAGAGTGCCTAAATTAGGTTTCCTCACTTAATGGATTGGCCCAAGAATGGAAGCTCAGCGTTTGCCAGTCAAAATACCTGGGTCAAAGATTGTTTTTAGGCGAGGTTCCAGCCCCTGCCTTCTCCTAAAGAGGGCTGAAGTCCCTCCTTGGCCCAAGGGCTCACTTCCTTCCTGCTTGGTGTGATAAACTGGGGGCTGAAAGTTGAGGAAACCTAATTTAGGGCCGTGAGGAAGGCATGTTGGAACATGTATCAAAGGCTACTCTGCCTAGTTTAGTCATCTCTTCCCACCATCATCCATTTAAGTTACGCAGGATCTTACCTGGAGGTAAGTGAGTGTGTATGTGTGTGTGTGTGTGTGTGTGCACGTGCACGCATGTTAGAATCCAAAATGCAAGGGCTCCACAGATCTGCTTTGTGACGCCGCTTGTCCTTGTGGGAAGCATGGGAGACAGCGGGTGGTTGGTGGTGGGGGGAGCTCTTCTTTACTTGGGGCAACTGCTGCCATGGGCTCTGGGTCCTAAAGGCTCCTGGCAGGCACCCCCAAGTTCCCACCACCCCCATTCTTTTCTTCCTCACATCCAATGCCCTTTTCTGAACCAGGCTCTTCCGAAAAGCAGCCTCTCCTCCAGAGGTGGGATTCAGCAGGTTCTGAGCAGTTCTGGAGAACCGGTAGCGGAAGTTTTGAGTAGTTTGGAGAACCGGCAAATACCACCTCTGGCTGGCCCTGCCCCCATCTATTCTCTGCCTCCCGTGTCCCAGCTGACATGGAGGGAATGGGGATTTCACAGTATCCTTTCCCTGCCACGCCCACCAGGCCACCTCCACAGAACCGTTAGTAACATTTTTGAATCCCACCACTGCTCTCCTCCCACCACCCGCTGGCCAAGGGCCCTCTCTGGCACTGAGGTCACACAGCACCGGCGGTGGCAGGGGCATAGCCCTCAGCTGGGCTGCAACCGAGCCTCTCCCAGCAAGCCTGCCTCGCCATGCTCTCACCCTGCTGTTGGGATGGCCCCCGCTTTCTATCAGCATCTGGATGGCTTCGGGGTGGCCCCCTCCAGAGGCCTCAGAGAGGGGGGTGTTGCCGTTGGCGTCTGTGCAATCCACCATGTTGAGGAGATGCTGGAGCCGGACTACCTTCCCCTTCTCATCCGTCCCCACGCCAGCCTTGGTGTCCAGATCCGCCACCTTGAAACAGCAAATGGACAGGTTTGTCCAGGAAGAGAGGACTGACCAGAGGTGGGCTGAACCGGAAGTGGCATGCTGGCCTGGATCGCAGAACTGGCAGTGACCCAGGCTGGCAATTTGCCTGAACCGGTTCCCCGGTTGCCTCAGTTTGCCACCACCATCCTTTTTGGGAGTCCTGCGCATGCACAGAACAATTTCTACTGAACTGTGTATGCCCGCATAGCGCACGTCCAGCACACACCCACACACAAGCAAAGCAGCAGTAATGCCGGCTGGTACCCATCCCTGGGAATGACCACTCTGCACCAGGTAAGGGAAAGTGTGACGGAGCAAGGCGAGGCTGAGTCTCGGCCCTGGTTGATGCGTAGTGCGCCCCGTCCCCCACCCCACCCACCTAATCTTCTCACGGGTGTTTGTGGAAATGCACTGTCAAGTCACAGGTCCAAAGCCACTGCTTTGGGAAGGCTTCCCCTCCATCTCGGTCACCAAGGAGGCCCAGCAGTCCCTTTGTGCCAGTGCAGAGCATGGCACACGCCACCCCCCTCCCACAGTGGCTGGAGGAGCCTGGTGCCAGTGGGCGGAGAGCACTGATGTGACCAGTTGTCTCACGAAGAAAACTCAGGGATGAGGCTCAGAAGACGAGGCAAGCTTTCTTCATATTTAAAACAGTGTTCAAATTCCAAATACCCGACCTTGTTTGGCTGACAGAGGCTGACCTGGGACTTAACCATCCTGCAATTCCTCAAAACCATAATTAGACTTTGTCACAAGCTTCAGGTAAACCAGAATTGGTCTTCTATGCTATAATACATCATTAAGTCTGGAATTTTATAATGTGCAATTAGTAAGATGTTGAAGATGCTTCAATCTCTGGCTGAGGGATTTGGAGAAAAGGCAGAACATTGCTTCAAAAAGTCTCTCAGAGGCCCCCAGGACATATTCCAAGGCAACACAGCTTGAAAATACAACAAAAATAGGGGCATCCCCCCACGGGAGGGGAGGAGGAGAAAAAACCTCCCCCTTCCAACCTGGTGCTGGTTTGGGTGCAGAGCCGGAAACAGGAGCCACAAACTCATTTTCACCTCTTTCAGAATGGCCTTCATCTCCTCCACGTCTCCTTCAAAGGCTGCCTCCAGCATCCGTTTTCTCCGCTGCTGCTCCTCTCTCTGCTTCCTCCTTTCTTCCTCTTCTTTCTTTCGTTCCCGCTCAGCTTCCTCCTGCTCTCTTCTCACTAGGGCGACAAAAGCCTGCAACGTGGACAGCCCAGCGAAGAAAAAACTCCTTTAGAGTCAGGATGAGATTTCTGAAAAAGCTCTGCAGCAAAGCCAAACCCCTAAGCACTATCCGTGGGGCGTCTTTTAGAACCAGCTCCCTGCCTGGCCTACAGTCAGTAGCAACGGTCATTCCTATCTTCAAAAAAGGAGAGCCCGGCCTAGTTGAGAATTACCGACCAATCTCCCTTTGCTGCGTCTCCTGTAAAGTCATGGAATCCACCATATACCAATCCATCACCCTCCACTTAGAGACACACAACCTATTCTCTAACAAGCAATTTGGTTTCAGAAAAAAATTGTCCTGTAATCAGCAGCTCCTACACTGCAAAATTATTTGGGCCACACAACTCGAACAGGGTAAAGCAAAAGATGCAATCTACATAGACTTCTGCAAAGCCTTTGATTCAGTGGTACATGACAAACTTCTGTTAAGCTCCTATGGCATTTCTGGATCTATGCACATGTGGGCAACTGCTTTCTTATCAAACAGGCAACAAGTAGTCAAAATTGGAAGCAATATCAAACCATGCACCAGTTAACAGTGGTATCCCCCCCCCCAAGGCAGCGTATTAGGACCCACACTCTTTCTGCTTTACATAAACAACCTCTGTGATCATATTATAAGCAGCTGCATCCTCTTTGCTGACGACGTAAAACTATTTAACACCACAGACAATACTACCACCCTACAAAGCGACCTTGACTATGTCTCTGAATGGTTGAACAATTGGCAACTCCAAATCTCTGCTAACAAATGCTCTGTCCTAAACATTGGCAACAAGAACCAGAACACCAAATACAAGCTGGGCGGATACAAGCTAAGAGATGACCCAGACTCTGTCACGGGCCTAGAGTACTCATCTCAAAAGATCTAAGCCGCAGAGCTCCCTGTAACAACATTGCCCAAAAGGCATTTCACAAGTAGAATACTTAATTCATTTGCTTGCAATAAAATAACTTACGGCACCAGGCTTGAAAATTTGGGCCTGGACAATCTCGAACTACGTCCCCTACATTCCAACCTAAGCATAGTACACAAAATTATCTGCTATAATGTCCTACCTGTAAATGATTACTTCAGCTTCAATAAACGGGCAAACAATAGATACAAACTCAAAGTAAACTGCTCCACACTCGATTGCAGAAAATACGACTTCAGCAATAGAGCGGTCGATGCCTGGAACACTCTACCTGATTCCATTGTTAGTTCCTCAAATCTCCGTATCTTTAACTTTAAACTGTCCACCGTGTAACTCACATGTTTCCTAAGACGTCCCTAAGGGGGCGTGGATAGTCCTACTGTCCCCATTGATATGTACTCACTTTATGTGTTCATGCCCATCTTATATTTATTTATATCCATCTGTTTGTACCAATCTCATGCGAAAATGTCCATGTCTCTACTAACACCTGTTACCTTGCACATGTTGACAAATAAATAAATAAATGTGAGGCTGCCAGCAGGCCAGGCCCAAACTGAAAGCGGGAGAGCTCTTCTCTTCATTGACTGGACACCCCCACTTCCTGCAACCCTTCATCCTGGAGTTTAGCCTCCAGATCCCCCGTCCCCTCGGTTGCTCTTCCCTGCACTCTTTCCAGAAGAGTCTCAACACCTTTTTTGTATGGTGGCAGCCAGAACTGGGTGCAGGTTTTCTGGGTCTGGTCTCACCAAGCAGGACGAAGCCTTTTTGTGATTTCGCTGCTATCCTGCTGTTGATGGGGTTTTTGGCAGCTGCAGTACAGCCCTGGCTCACACTTAAGTGGTGATCCACTGGGACACCTTAGATCCCTCTCACAGTTACACCTGCTCAGCCAGGTGCAGCCTACCCTATATTTGTGCATTTGGTTTTTCTTGCCTAAGTGTAAAAATGGACTTTTCTCGCCACTGAATTGCATCTTGTTGGACTGGGCACAGAGTTCAGTACAAGCAGCCATCCTAGTCCGCAAACACGACTGGGGGTGCAGCTCCCCCCATTCTGCCATTCAGACCCCCCCACCCCCAATTCTGCCCTCCGCCAGCCAGCACCTGCACAGAATGGCCAAGTGCTGCTACTGCCACTGCCGGGGCCCTCCTGCTCCTCACCTCCTTTTGGAGGCGATCCATTAATTCTTCATATTCCCGTCGCTCCTTCAGTCTCCGCTTCCTCTCCCGGCAGGCCAGGATCCTACGGAAGGCGCACTGCAGAGTGAGCGCGGCTCTCGCCTCCCGACTCAGGCCTGGGGGTTAGAAAGGAGAGGCCCAGGGCCATCAAGCGAGGTTCCTGGGCCCTCATTGGTCATTCCTTCTATGAAAGATTAGGGAGGGGGATCGATTTTGGGGAAAGACCACCGATGCCAGCTTATGTTCCAAAGAGCTGTTGTCCTGGCAGAGGTTGAATTGGGCACCCAAAAGCCGGCCTTCAGATCCAGAAGAGCGTCTTCTTCACAGGGGGACTCAGAGTGCCTTGGAAAAGCCCTACTCAAGTTGCCCAAAGTCAAGACACCCCCCATTTATGGGCCAGGAGTTCAGAGATCCAAGTCCACGCGCTCTTAGCTGATGCTGGCCTTGTGGGTCTCGAATGCATCCTGGCAAGGGGACGGCTTGGGCCTTGGTGAGTCAGACCCAGGGCTGTCCTGGACGGGTTCTGCCAAGGGTGTTTTGCAGCTGGAGTGTAACACCTGCCCTGCCTCTCCCTCGGCGCCAATGCTAGCCTTTCAGATCTCTCGTTTAAAAAACAACCCTTTTTCCCAGCCGTTGATTTTCAGAAACATTGCGGTGTTTGGGGACTACTGTTACTCCTTTTATTTTGCTTTATTCTAGATTTACTTTCTTAAAAAAACCAAATAAATGAAATGGATCCTATAGCAAAACCTGAAACTTCTTTCCAATAACTGTATTTTCCAAGTGCTAGAAAATAATGTTTAAGATACATTTTAAAATGGGTGGGTGGGAAGGTGGGAAATTAGGATTAGCTGAAGTCCATCCCAAATATCAGTAATAAAACCCTGACTGCAAATTTCTCTATACTGTAATAATTCTTCTATGATTCTTAGGCCAATGATTATTCTAAAGATTGTGATATTCATTGGATGAGCAGAGGAGGAGAAAGAGAAAGTGGACGGGGGGGCGGGGGGGAGAGAGCGGTTGGAGTCATGGGGTTGGCAGGGATCTTCGAAGGGACCTTCAGCCCCCTGAAAACCTCCAGTGATTGGGGCTGCCATCTTTCCAGGAGGCAGCCTGCCCTACTCCGAAGGGGCCCTCTTGGTCAGGAAACTCCCCCTCTAAGGCTTCCACCTGCTCTTCCTCGCCCTGCTCTCCACACTTCTTCCTTGCGACAAGCCCCTCAGTCTTGGAAGAAGGCTGCCGTGTCTCGCCCCAGCCTTCCCTTTCTCACGTTAACACAAGCAAATTCTCTGAAGTGCTCTTCCTAGGACTTAGCCTCAGCTCCCTCGTGGTCCTCATCGCTCCTCTCTGCCCTCTTTCCGCTCCCCAGTGGCCTTTCTGGTATGTGGTGTCCGGAACTGGGCACGGCATTCCTGGGCACCAGAGCTTATGGGAGGCATCTAGGTGTCCTGAGGCACCAGCACTTGGCATGAGCCAGCAAGGTACCGCAGCTGCAAGAAAGCCCAGGCAATCCTGGGCTGCGTCAATAGAGGGATAGCATCAAAATTGCAAAAAGCCATCATACTCCTTTATACTGGGGTGGTGAGGCCACAGTTGGAATGCTGCGTCCAGTTCTGGTTGCTGCAATAAAGAAAAGGTGATGAGATCCTGGGACTACGTTCAGCCCCACCCTCTCCCCCAGCCCCAGTGGCGGGTTCCTAGCGATTTGGTGGGACTGGTAGTGGTTTGGCGGCCTCCTATCGCACTGCCATCATGATCTTCTATTCTGAGCATGCGCAGAAAAAATTTCATTGCACAAATTTAATTTTTTAACTTAGGGCTTTGCTGCCCAGATTGCCACGGAGAAGCCCTTAGGAAGGGTGGGAAAGCAACAGTGAGAACTGAAGACGGAACCAATGATTGGTTCAAAATTGGGAAAGGAGTCTGGCAAGGCTTTATACTGTCACCCTGCCTATTTAACTTATATGCAGAGCCCATCATGAGAAAGGCAGGGCTAGGTAAATAAAAAATTGGAATTAAGATTGCAGGGAGAAACATCAACAACCTCAGATATGCAGATGATAAACATTCTGATGGCAGAAAGTGAAGAGGAACTAAAGAGCCCCTTGATGCGGGTGAAGGAGGAGAGTGCAAAAGTTGGCTTGAAACGCAACATTAAGAAAACTGAAATTATGGCATCCGGCCCTCTCAATTACTGGGAAATAGATGGGGAAGAAATGGGGATAGTGACAGATTTTATTTTCCTGGGCTCCAAGATCACCGCAGATCGGGACTGCAGCCAAGAAATTAAAAGACGCTTGCTCCTGGGGAGGAAAGCTATGGCAAGTCTAGACAGCATACTAAGAAGCAGAGACTGCCCCCTGCCAACAAAAGTGCGTATAGTCAAGGCTCTGGTTTCCCCAGTTGCCATGGATGGCTGTGAAAGTTGGACCGTAAGAAAGGCCGAGCGCCAAAGAATGGAGGCCTTTGAACTCTGGTGCTGGAGAA